CTTTTAAAGGTCCACAACTACACAACTGGGAAATAAGATATACAGGAAATGGAGAATAGAAATCTATCCTGCCCTCCAGGACAATTGAAGGAGAAGGGGGGAAGAGATAGAAGGGAAGGCAGATTAGGAGAAGGGGTATTCAGAATGCATGCCATCTTGGGGTGGGGGTAGGGACCAGATGGGGAGAAAATTTGGAACTCAAAATCTTGTGGAAGTGAATGTTGAAAACTAAAAATAAATTAATTTAAACAAATAAAAAAAAATAAAGATCCACAACTGAAGCTCTAAGTTAAGGGTCAGATTTGTAGGTGACGTAGAGTTATACAATCCAGGGAGGCTGAAACCAGTGTGCACACAAACCTAGGAAGTATAGAAAGTTGATCCTAGTTCACAATAGGTGAACATAAGGTCAGCCTGGTTGAGTTGGAGTTGGGAAGAGATGAATTTGAATTTTACTTTAGGCACTTACTTGCTGTATGACCCTGGGTACTTAATCCACTCAGCCTCAGTTTACTTATCTGTAAAATAGGGAGTTAAAAACTAATGCCCAGGGGCAGCTAGGTTGGCAGTGGATAGAGCTCCAGCCTTGGAGTCAGGAGAACTTGAGTTCAAATCTGGCCTCAGACATTTGACACTTAGTAGCTGTGTGATCCTGGGCAAGTCTCTTCACCCTGATTGCCTCACCAAAAAGCTAAAAAAAACCCAACAAAAAACCTAATGCCCCATCACAGAATTGTTTTGAAGATCAAATGAGATAGTTTACGTAGAGTGTTTTGTAAACCTTAAAATACTACATTGGTTGTTTAGATATTATGAGCTAGCATAAGCTTACTAAATGCCAAGTTGATGGATGGGCTGAGATCATAGGTCATATAAGACCCTTAGCTAAGGAGGCATTTGGTACTTGAAAATTTTCTTGGGAAATTAATCTTAGTCTTGCTACTCAGACCTGCTTTAAATCAGAGAAGGAGAACCTACTGAAGGAGAATAAAATGTCAAGAAAGGAGCTTTTCAGGTAAATAAACCATCACCAGATAAAGTCAGCATGTGGCCTGAGTCAGGAGAGGTGACCTAGAGTCCAGACCTCTTCCACTATTTCTGTGACCATGGGCAAAAACACTTCATCTCTCTGGATCTCAGTGTCCTCCTAGTAAAATGAATGGGGGGACGATGGATCTAGAAGGTCTCTAGATGGGTCTTCTAGCTCTAACCTTCTATGATACTATGTGATTTCTTTAGACTTTTGGAAAACACTGGGAGGAGGAGTGAGAAAAAATGACTATAAAGGACCAATGATTATAATACATTTCCATCTTCTTCCTAACTCTTGTTTATGTAGTTCTTTAAATTTTGCAGAGTCGTTTTGCATGAGTAACCCCATGCATTAGAGGCTCTCACATAACACAAAGGTATACTTTGGAGTGACTTTTCATTTCCCTGGCTTGTCGCCCCTATCCAGATAATCTGGAAACTTCACCATCTGACTTCACTCAGTGCATTGTGGCCAACTCCCTTTGCAGGCATGGGGCTCACCAGGCTCAGAGAATGAACAGGTTACTTTGCAGACCAAAGCAAACGAATAGGAATCATTTAGACTTTAGGGAAAATAGTGACACCTGTTTATAGGCAACCATCCCCAGAGGCCCATAAAGCCCCATTCATTTAAGCCATGCTCTGGAGCAGACTCCCAGTCTAGAAGCAACTCTGGGTTGCCTCTCATAGTAATTCCCCATGTGGATCTCCTCCTTAGAGTCTCATGGGGCCCCCATCCACAACTCCTTTGGTTACCTGCAGAGTGTACCTTTTCACTGTGCCTGCACCTATGTGTAACTATTTTCCATTTTTACCTCCCACTGCAGTTTTTCCTCACTCTACGTAGATTTCCCGAGTAGATAATATTGGTTCTCCTCTGCTCTTCTCAGTTGATGGCGTCCCAGTCAGATTTCAGTCCATTAAGTTATGAGTGACATTGCAGACAAAGAAGTAAGAAGGGAATATGCATTTATTAAATACTCATTAAATACTGTGTGCCAGGCACTGTGCTGAACACTTTATAAATATCATCTCATTTGATTCTCATAACAACCCTATAAGGTAAACAGCATTATGATCCTTATTTTACAGATGGGGAAATTGAGGTAGAAAGAGGCTAAGTGACTTGCCTGAGGTCACATAGCTAGTAAGTGTCTAAGGGCAGATTTGAACTCAGGTCTTCTTGACTCCAGGCTCAGTGCTCTATCCATTGAATCACCTAGTAAGGACTCCCTTGTCTTAGAGACACTTGGCTGAATACAGCCCCCAAACAAGGAGCTCTTCTTTAATTTTCCTTGTTGTGTTGCCAGTACTTCTCCTAAACTCCAACTTTGTGCTTCTGACTTCTGGGCACACTTCCACAATCTGACTTAGAGCTTCCTAATGATTCTTCAGCCTCATTATTAGATTGGGTCAAGGTGACTCCACAGTCTGATGTCTTTTCTATTGCAGCATGGATGTTTCCTGCCAAAGTCAGGCTCTCTCACATACCTAGAGGCTTGGCAGAGCCCTTCATTCTCTCTCTCTCTCAGTCCTTTCGGCTCAGAAATCCCTATGGAGATAGTTAGAAAGCATTCAAATGGCCTAGGGCTTCCTCCTCAGTCTCCAGGGTGATAGGACTAGAAAGAGTTAAGCACTCCTGATGTCCACAGTGAGTCCTGGAAAGAATGAAATATTACCTTCTTCTCAGCAGTTTTGTGATGGTAATTATTGTCTCCATATAGATGCTGCTGCTCAGCCATTTAAAGAAAATACTTTGGAATGGGGGAGGGGAGCTGCATAATCAATTTCTGGTTCCTTCATTTCTTGGATGACAGGGCCCTGTAGAACACTGGTCTTCAAAGTCAGGACTGTGTACTCCCTAGGAATCATGGTATGTTTACAAAGGGCATGTGATCCATTCAGAGGAAGGAAGAAAGTATTTATGTGCCAAGCACTTTACAAATCTTATCTTATTTAATCTTCATAATAATGCTGGGAAGTAGATGCTGTGATCTCCTTTTACAGATGAAAAAACTAGTGGCCAGAGATTGTGATTGGCCCAAGGTCACATAGCTCAAAAGTATCTGAGATAGGATTTGAACTGTCTTCCTGACTCCAAGGTCCACCTCTTTATCCACTGTACCATCTAGCTCCCTACATATACATATACAGTAGTACATATATTTGCAAATAAATATGTACGTACTGGAGCCATATTACTTCCTGACACAATAAATTCCAGTAACTTTCTATTACCACTAGGATCTAATATTACTTTACCTTTTTCTCATCCTTTTAAATTTCTGTCTGTAAGTATAATGACCTTTCTGGGCTACCCCTCCCTTACTCATGTTTGCACTGGTGAGTTGGGTCCTCAGGGATGTGACAACTATAACAGTTGCTATGACAGTAGCTACAAAATACCCCCGCCTCCAAATCCTTGGGTTAAATCTCTCCCACAGATACATACAACATTCATGAGAAGATTTTTTAGGAACTTAGATTTAGAAGATTTTTAGAAACTTAAGAGTAGACCAGTTGATAGACACACACATATAGTACACAGATGGCCAAGGAAATTAATTCCTCTGGTACTGCAGGCCCCTGATGTCCTTTTTTCTTCTTGTGGAGTCCTTCTATTGTTCCCCACTGAGTATGGCATCTCTTCGGGGGGAGGAAGTCACTCAGGTGGGGTCCCTGGTTTGACTCCTCCCATGGTTTGATTTGACTTCCAGGGCTAATTCTCCTTGTAATCCATAGTCAGTTCTCTTTTCTGCTGCCTAAGATCTCATTCACTGAAGCTTCTTCCTAACTCAAATGATGATTGTCTATGTCTCTGTCTCCATAAAAAATATGTCTTTGCTTCTTTATAAATGCATCTGAATTGTACCTTGAACTTTCTCAAATTGTATCTCAGGAAAGGCAGGCTTGAGGAGTGATCAGTCACCACATAGCCAATGGCCAGCTACTCTACAAATTAAATAGGAAAATTTAGGAGAATTTCTTCACATTTTTTAAGAAAGACAAATAGACACATCTTTGCACTTCATTAGCATATTAATATCTTTGTCATCTGTTCCCTTACTTTTGCTGATTGCATTAACTAGGTACAATTGAAAATCCCCCCCACTGCCAATTCCTACGAGTATGTGGGGGTATAATTCTTATCAATAAGGATACATACACAATGTAGCAAAATAAAATAAATCTCTTTCCCAGATGGGATGTAGAAGAGTTCAATTTCTCTCTTTTTTTTTTCATTTTTAATCTGTTAAAGTGATTACTTTTATTTTTACATCAGCTTCATTTCTGAATGAAGTTCTCCCCTCTAGAATAAACTTTCCCTTGTAACAGAGAAAAAAAAGAAGGAAAAAACATAGGGCAAAGTCAAACAACACAGCAACTATGTCTGACAATGTATGACATATTCCATATCTTTAGTGTCAGTAAACGTTAAGTACCTATTGTGTGCCAGGTGCTGGGTGAAATAAAAGTGTAGATAATAAATCACATTTATATAACACTTTGTAGTTTATGGAGCATTCTACAAATTATTTCATTTTTTCCCTCAACAACTCTGTGAGGTAAATTGTACAAATATTATTCCCATTTTTCAGATTAGCAAATTGAGTTGTAGGTTAAGTGACTTGTTCTTGTGGAGTTTGCAGTCTAATAACATAATATGACGTTCACAAATAGCTAAAATACAAAATAATACATGGTAAGAAATAGCTGGGAATTGTGGGTAGAAAGCCAGCCTTGTAGTCAGAAAGGAGCTGGATTCCAATCTTGCTTCTGTCACATACTAGCTGTCAGACCCAGGATACCTTTCAGTGGCCCAGGTAACTCTCTAAGACATAAGTTACAGTAAAGGTACCCATCTGTGTTAGTAGAGAAAGAGTAAGCATCCCCAGTATGTGCATATTTACTTATTTACAAATGATAATACGTGTACCATTATATCAGTAATTAATATATATTTTCAGTCATCTAGGTGGTGCAGTGAATGGAGAGCTGGACCTGAAATGAGAAAGACATGAGTTCAGATTCCACTTTGACCACTTCCTAGTTGCATGACCCTGCTCAAGTCACTTAATGTCTGTCTGCCTTCATTTCTTCAACTGTGAAATGGGAATCATAATGCCAACCTCTCATGGTTGTTGTTAAAAGCAAAATAAGATAATCATAAAATACCAACCTTAAAGCTCCATGTAAATGCTAACTATTATTATTATGATCCAAACGTATGGATTAGGGGGTGGAATTTGGACTGAACTTAGTTGATGTAATCACAGAAAGCAAGGGGATAGATAACAGAAATGTTTATATATTTATATACTAATAATGAACTCACAGGTCTAGTTAAAAAAGTTAACTGCATAAGAGGGGTATAAACAAAGTGTTCGGTTAGGTGGGGGAGAGGGAAAAGGAGTGGGGCATCCCAACCTCAGGGAACAGCAGGAGCAAAGAGATGGAGGAAAGTCTGCAGGGAGTGGTAATGAAGTCTAGCTTGACTGGATCACAGAATTATACATGAGGGGTGGGTGGCAGAGAAATAATATGAAATAAACTTCCTGGAGGAGATACTTTCAAATTTGAAAGGGTCTGGGGGATTTGGGACTTCTCATTTTCCCATTGGGTTCCTAGCACCATCCCATTGGCAGCAGGGTATACATTGGGAGCCAAGGACAGACTGGGTACAGATTCACCCACCAAGCTTCAGGGGTAACTTGAGCAGACCAAAATGGGAGAAAAGGACTTCTCACCACCAAATTACCCTTTTGCTTCATGTGCTTTCTAACCTTGAGTCTACTTTCTTCTGGACTCTGTATACTTGTGGAAGAGTATTTATAGACCTTTGGGGGGATATTTTATACCAACTTTTACTGCTATTGTTGTTCGTCCTTTTGAAGTATAACTTTCACTTTCTTTTTCTTGTGTTTTTTCAACAATTTTTTTAACATGTATTTTTAAAACTTTAGGTTCCAGATTTTCTCCCTTTCTCCCTCCCCACCCACCCCTCATTAAGAAGGCAAGCAACTCAATACAGGTTACACATGTGCAGTCATGCAAAACACTTCCATGGTAGTCGTGTTGTGAAAAACTAAGTATATTTCCCTTAATCCTATCCTGCCCCCCATTTATTCTGTACTCTCTTTTGACCCTTTTGCTTCTGATTTACCCCTTCCTCCCATCTGCCCTCCCCTCTATCATCTCCCTGCTCTCTTGTCCCCTTCCCACATATTTTACTGTAGGGTAAGATAGATTTCCACATACAACTGAGTGTGTATATTAATTCCCTCCTTAAGCCAAATCCGATGAGAATAAGATTCATTCGTTCCCTCTCACCTTTTCCCATTTCCCCTCCATTGTAAAAGCCTTTTATTGTGAAATAATTTACCGCATTCTACCTCTCTTTCTCCTTCCCCCAGTAAAATCCTTTCTCACCCCTTCATTTTATTCTCCAGATATCACCCTTCATCTTTAACTCACCCTGCGCCCTCTATCTATCTATCTATCTATCTATCTATCTATCTATCTATATATATATCTACATACATACATATAATTTTTTTTCCTCCAACTACCCTAATACAATGGTCTCATGAGTTACAAATATCATCTTTCCATGCAGGAATGTAAACAGTTCAACCTTAATAAGTCTCTTACGATTTCTCTTTCCTATTTACCTCTTCATGTTTCTTTTGAGTCTTGTATTTGAAAGTCAAATTTTCTGTTCAGTTCTGGTCTTTTCATCAAGAATATTTGAAAGTCCTCTATTTCACTGAATGTCAATTTTCCCCTCTAAAGGATTATACTCAGTTTTGCTAGGTAGATGATTCTTGGTTGTAATCCTGTCTCCTTTTGCCCTCTAGAATATTATATTCCATGCCCTGCAGTCCCTTAATGTAGAAGCTGCTAACTCTTGTGTTATCCTGATTGTGTTTCCAAAATACTTGAATTGTTTCTTTCTGACTGCTTACAATATTTTCTCCTTGACCTGGGAACTCTGGAATTTGGCTGCAATATTCTTAGGAGTTTTCCTTTGGGGATCTCTTTTAGGAGGGGTTCAGTGGATTCTTTTCAATTTCTATTTCACCCTCTAGTTCTAAAATATCACGGCAATTTTCCTTGATAATTTCTTGAAAGATGATGTCTAGGCTCTTTTTTTTGATCATGGCTTTCAGGTAGTCCAATAATTTTTAAATTCTCTCTCCTGGATCTATTTTTCAGGTCAGTGGTTTTTCCAGTGAGATATTTCACATTGTTTTCTTTTTTTTCATTCTTTTGGTTTTATTTTATAATGTCTTGATTTCTCATATGCTCATTAGCTTCCACTTGCTCCATTTTAATTTTTAAGGAAGTATTTTCTTCAGTGAGCTTTTGGACTTCCTTTTCCATTTGGCCAATTCTGCTTTTGAAGGCATTCTTCTCCTCGTTGATTTTTTGGACCTCTTTTGCCATTTGGGTTAGGCGATTTTTTAAGGTGTTATTTTCTTCAGTATATTTTTGGGTCTCCTTTAGCAAGCTGTTGACTTGTTTTTGATGATTTTCTTGCATCACTCTCATTTCTCTTCCCAGTTTTTCCTCTACTTCTCTTGCTTCTCAAAATCCTTTTTGAGCTCTTCCATGGCCTGAGACCAATTCATATTTTTCTTGGAGGCTTTGGATATAGGAGCTTTGACTTTGTTGTCTTCTTCTGGTTATATATTTTGATCTTCTTTGTCACCAAAGAAAGATTCTATGGTCTGACTTTTTTTACACAGTTTGTTCATGATCCTAGCCAATTACTTGAGTTATAAACTCTTTGTTAAGGTAGGAGTCTGCTTCCAGGGTGGAGAATGTACTGTCCCAAGCTTCGAGGGTTTTGTGCAGCTGTTTTCAGAGATACTTCTAGGGACTTCGGTTCTTCCAAAGTGGTGTGATCGAAAGAGAGGAGTTCACTTCTTTCCTGGCTTGTGCTCTGGTTATGAGTGACCACAAGCACTCTTTTCTGCCTTGGAACTGTGAAGAGGATTCCCTGTCCACCTCCACTACAAGCTACACCACGCTAGCATTCCTCCTCACCCCAGGCACCTAGAACTGTGACCCAGATCCAAACACGGGCAAAGCAAGAGAATCCTGCTTCAGCACCAGCAAAGAGATCTCTACAATCTCTGTCTGATTAGCCACTTGATTCCCCCTCTGTCTGTGGGCGGAGCTCAGGAAGCAGCCGCAGCCCTGGGGCTACGCTGGGACTGGGGCTGGGGCCAAACTTCTCTCTCACTGCAGTCACAGACTACTCACCTTCTAAGCTGTCTTTGGTGTTTGTGGGTTGAGAAGTCTGAAAACTGCCACAGCTGCCTGTGATTGAGTCGTCTGAGGCCTACTCCAGCTTAGCTGAGGCCTGTTTTGCCTGCGCACCCATGCTGAACTGCATTCCTTTCCCAGCCTGGCACAGTAGACCTTTCCAATCAACCATCCAGGTTGTCTTGGGTTGGAAATTTCTTTCACTCTGTCCTTTTGTGGCTTTAGAATTTGTTTAGAACCATTTTTTACAGGTATTTGGGGGTTTGACTCAAGCACGTCACTGCTTTACTCTGCTATCTTGTCTTTGCCCCATCCTTCATTTTCCAAGAAGACTGATGTCATCATGGCATGATATTTTGACTTGCTCAGGAATTGGATTTAAGTGAGACAGAATTATGCAAAGTCATCAGCCTCACTCTCTCTTCCCAAGTTATTGAAGTCCAGTGGCAAGACAAAAGTCAGGACAGCTGGCGATGGGCCAGGATGCAGTGGATTACCTTGGTGTCTTTGATGTCTGGCCAAGCTCAAAGCACTCCACAATGCCTACTTCAGTCACCTTCATGACCACTGGAACAAATTGTTCTCATCGCCCATTCGGCTGGGGAAAGTCTTCACATGCTTGGGGTAGACATCTCCCTAACTCACCAACAGGTTTGAGGCCTGTTGGTTACCCTCAACCTGGTTTAGCTCAGTCTGCCAAGACACTTTTACTGGGCTGTGGTATGCTACAGCTTCTCAGTGCCACAGGTGTTGTTATTAGTTCTTTGTTCTCGAAGAGGACCAATGGCATCAGGAGGGTGATGTGTTGACTTGCAAGTGAATTGGATTTAAATGAGGCAGAGCTGTGTAAAATCATTAGCCCCACTTTCTCCTCCACAGTCATTGGAGTTCAATGGCAAAACATAGGTCAGGACTACTGGTGATGGCCCAGGATGTAGTGGGAGACTGGACTTTTTTCAGAACGACAAGTGATAGTTGGATAAAAGGTAGACACCAAAGGCAGATAAGCAGCCCTACAAAGTGCTCAGCAAGGCCTCACACCAGAGGGGCTAGTCCTCCTTGAACACCCTAAACACCCCAATGTGCTTAGGACCCAAGGAAAGATTTTTATTTCCATTCCTTACTTACCTTAGGATTTGTCCTTGAGCTCATTCCACAAAGCACACAATTCTAATTCATATGGAGGGTTTACTGCCTACCATCTTCCTTCTAATGGGAACATTTATACTTTATTCTAAGGAAAATGACCTCAACAATCTAAGAGGAAAGAAATATATTTTCCAAGTTCTGATACGACCACCCAAATAGGACTTTAGAGACCATCTACTTTAACTCACATATTTGGCAGATGAAAAACCAATAGCAAGAGCGGTTATGTGACTTGACTAAAGTCACGTGTAGGTATTAAATGGCAGAGACAGGCTTTGAACTCCATTCCTTTGATTCTGATTCCAACTCAGCCTCAAAATGTGTCAATTTCTCCGGTCCCATCAAGAATAGATCACAAGATCTGACCATAATTTTTTCAGAGAAAGACAAAGTTCACCTCAGACCTACAGTGACCCAAAGAAAATGTTTTAGAATAATCAAGACTGCCCAGCGTGGGAGTCATTGTCCTGCAAGGTAATCCACAAAGATTTACAGTGAATGTGTCCCCCCTCATGCTTTACCTTATGTTGGGTTTGTTCTATACCTCAGCAATCTGTGATTTTGTCAGAGTAGTCGATAGTCT